AATTTAATTATATATAATTAATTTTTAATTAATATATATTTAAATATATTTATATTTAATATAATCAAATATTAATTATATTATAATAATTATAATTAAATTTATATTTTTTTTTATTTTTTAAATGATGATATTTAAATTTATCCTTATTATTATAAAATAATCCAATAAATTTAAGCCTATAATTTATAATTTTTATATTTTATTTTTACATTTGATATTTTCCACTTATTTTTTAATTACGAAATAATTAATTATTAAAAAAAAAAAATTTAAAAATATTTATTAATTTATTAATTATTAAATATGAAAGATAGAACTCCTTCACAATGTTAAAAAGTTGCTGATGTTTATTTAGGTTATAATGAATAATTATTAAAAGAGTATGGTATCTAAAATGAAGATATTACTAGTTCTATATAATATAATAAAAAAATTAATAAAATAGTAATTACTTTTGAAGAAAAATATTATAAATAAGAATAAGATTTAGAAAAATTAGAAGAGTAATTTGATAATGATTAAAATAATAAAGTTATTAAATCTTTAGCGAGTGTTTATGGATTTGAAAAAAAATAAAAAAAAATTTAAAAAGCATAAAGTAATATAATAATCGATATCGAATCGAGCTGAAAAAAATTAATTTTTAACAAATTAATTACATGAATAATTATCTTTTTAATTATTTATCTATATATAAATATATTTTTTTATTAATTAAAAAAAAAAAATAATCTTTAGTGTTTTGTTAATTAAAAAAATTAACAAATTAATTAAAAACATTATATTAGTTATAAAGATATATATATATATATATATATATATATATATATATATATATTTATATTATAATGAATATTAACAAAAAAATATATATATAATTATAAATATGTTGAAAATTCTTTTAATAATATAAAAATAAAGTATGTATTTATAAAATATTTTATTTTCTCATTTTTTATTAAATTCAATAGAAATTCTATTTAAATTATTAATATTTTCTTTATTTTTATTTAATATTTCATTATAAATAAAATTTTATTATTTTTTTTAATTATGAAATAATGATTATTATTATTATATTTATCTTTTAAATATTTTTTATTTTTTTTGTATTATTTTGTTGTCATTTTATATATTTTAATTACTTTTTCTTTATATACTATCACAATGATTATTTAAACTTGAAGATTCTTTATTTCTTTCATTTTAAATTACTTAAATACTTCTTTTATTTTTTGTAAATTCATTTTATAAAATATTAAAATTACCTCATATTATTTTAATATTCTTAATGATTTTAAATAAAAAGCTTAGAAGGCATTTATGGAGTATTTATTTAAGAAACAGAAAGATTGTTTTTTTTAGGAGTTTATTAATTAATATTTATATTTTATTTTTATATATATTGTTATTATTAAAGAATTTAAATTTCATTTAAAAGTTTGGTTTTTTCTTCTTCTAAGGCTATATTTTTTTTATCTAGTTATTTCAGTTTTATTTTGTTTTACTCATTAAATATTATTAATTAATTTGATTATTATTTTGATAATTAAATTTATTCTTAAAAATCTAAAATTTTAGTTTGTTTTTATTATAACTCATTATTTAGTCTTTCTAATTATTGTTAATAATTTATAATTAAAGATAATTATTTTTCTTAATATTCTTTTTCTTTTTATTTTTAAGATTATTCAATTTATTCGATTTTATTTAAATAATTTAAATGAAGTTTTTATATTTCTTTTTCATGTGTAAATTATATTTATTGTACAATAATATTTTATTCCTTATTATTTTATTTTATTTATAAGAAAAAAAAAAATGTTTACATTTAATAATTTATCCTTAAAATCTTTTATTTAAATGACTTCTTTATTTTATTCATTTATGTTATTTTAAGGGTTTATAATTGAGCATTCATTAACTTCAGCTAATTCTGAAATATTATGTATGTTAAATTGATTTTATTATAAGTTTGATTAGTTTTCGATAGTTCTTAATTATTCTGAGTTACTTATAGAAAAGCTATATGTCTTATTATTGCCAGATAAACATTTTTTTATATCTTTTATTGATTCCCATATCATTTTTTTATGTTCATTTTTATCAGAGATATAAAAATTGTTGTTCATTTAAATTTTTTTTGTTATTTTTAATTAAATAATATTACTTAATTAAATTATTTTTAAACATAGTTTTATGTAAAATAATGAATTATTTCTATGAAAATTCTATAATATAAAATTAATTTAGGCATTTTTATATATAAAATGAATAAAATTAACATGTAAAAAACTGTAAAAAAATGAATAATAAATATATTAATTAAATAATTTAAAACATTTGTTTTTGTTTTTGTTTTGTTTTTTTGTTTTTTTTTTTTTAAAAAAAAAGTAAATAAAAAAAATAATATTAAACAATAATTATATAAATATACAAACATATAAGATAAAATAATATTAAGCAAAAAATATAGATAAAAAAAGAAAAAAAATACTCACATATTTCATTAATCTTTATTTTAAGTTTTTTCATTAGTATCTTTTATTTTATTTTATTTTTTAAAAAAAAAATTGTTAAAAAATAAAAAAAAAATATTAACTTTGTTTATAGACTTTCTTTTTTTCAACATCCATAATTTATTAAATTGTGCTTTTTTATTTTTTTAAATCTCGTTAAACAAATAATTCTACTTTAGCAAATTTCACCCAGGCTTTTCCATCTTGTAAATTTTATAATTCTTCTTAAATTTCTTTTTCGGTATGCCCACTTTTTTTAACTATTTCCCAAAAACACATCCATTCATCTTATGTAATCTTACCTGAATTATCAAAATCTACGGCTCTAAATAATTCGTTTGTATTTATTTTTGCAAAGTTTGATTTCCTTTTTTATTTTTTAAAATGATGTTAATTTTTTATTTAATAATTTTATTATTAATTTTTATATAAAAAACCAATATTTTGCTGTTTCGGCTTTATCTATTGACTATGAACCATCTACATCGATTTTTTTAAAAATTTATAACACTTTTTCTCTTAGTTCTTATGATAAACCCTTTTTTATATTATTTATTAAGAAAAGAAAAAACATTTTAGTTTTTATTTTTACTAATACATTTTATTTAGAATTAAAACATCCCATATTAATTGAAAATTTTACTTTTTGTTATGTTATGTTATGTTTTATTTTATTTATTATTTTTATTAAAAAAAAAAAAAAAAAAAATTAAAATAAATAATTAAATTAATAAAAATATTGATTTTTTAAATAAAAAAAAAAATATTTTAAAATAAAATTTAGTAAATAAAATAATAATTTGATAATAAAAAAAAATATTTTTATATATTTAAAATACATTTAAATGAATAATAATAATTACAAAAAAATATTCTTTTTAATTTGCTAAATTAATTTTTTTTGTTTTAAATATATATAAATAAATGTAACATAAAAATTAATATATTATGTTTTCATTTATATATTTATTAGAATAATTATAATTATATAATATATATATATAATTATAAATATTATTTATCAAAATTATTCTATAAAAAAATAATTGATTATAAATAATTTTATAGAATATATAAAAAAAAAATTATAAAAATTATTAAATAATTTTTTAAAAAATGAGAAAAAATTATCTTTTTACATATTTAATATATATATAAAAAAAAAGAAAATTATAATTCCGCAAGAATATAGAAAAATATATATATAATTATATAATTATATAAAAATATAGACATATATATATATATATATATATATATAATATAATTATTATTTATAACATTTAAATATATTTAAATAATTATTAATATTAAAAAATGAATTAATAAATTATTTATTGGGAAAAACAAGGAATAGATTTTCTATGTGCATAACACTGCATAAATTCATTATTATAATATCCATATTATAATGCAGTAGCATTAGGATAAATTGCTTTACATTTAGATAAACAAGAAAAATTAATATATTAATAAGGTGGTTTAGAAAGTGAGGATTTCCTAAAATTTGTAGCTGGAGAATCGGAAAATGTATCAGATTAAGGAAACTTTTCAGTATAAGTTATTGAATATATATTAAAAGTTAATCATTAGTTAAATTGTAAGTTTATTTATCCAAAAATGAATTTGAATATTAATTTGAAAAATGAAGAAGGGATAATATTAAATTTACTTAATCATTGGTTTTCTATAAGAAAAATTAATAAAATGTGGTTTAACTTAAATTCACTAAATTAAGATTTTCCTCATATTATTTCTGAAATAGAATTAATAAATTTACTTAATAATTCATATTAAAATGGAATTTTATTAATAATTTTAATAGATGGATAATTTAAGAATAATATTATTTAAGAAAATAAATTGGGATAAGGATAATTTTTATTTACAATAGAATAAATTATCTAATAAATTCGAAACGAAAGCTCTTATTTGTCTTTATAGAATTAAAAAAAAAAATATGTGTAAAATTATAATCAAGGATAATAATAAAAATAATAATAATAATAATAAAATGATCCTCTAATTTTAAATGCTTTGGAAGAAAGCCTAAAAGAGAAATTTTTCAAAAAAATTGATATTGGATTTCCCTTAAATATTTGGTTACCGAATTAATAAAAAATTTATCATAATTTTGATCCATTGATTACATTAGAAGATCTTTATTAGTTTGTTTAATGGCAATTACGGTAAAAAGGTTATAATTAATAATTTATTATTTATTCAAATAAGCCAAATGTTTAATACAATAATTAATTTAATGTACATTTATTTGAAGCGGGAATATAATTAAATTAAGTTTTGCATGTAAAAATAGTTTGATAAAATATATAATTATATAAATAATTTTATTGGAATCAAAAATATTAAATATAAATATATATATATATATATATATTTATATTTATAAATTTATATATATATATTGTATTTATATAATCTATATTATTTATTTCTAATAAAAAATAACCAAATCTTATAATTTTAAAAAATATCATAATATATATATTTTTTTGTGTAAATTTGTATAAATATTATAAAAAATCATAAAATTAAATTTTTTTATATAGCTTTTATAATTTGTATTTTAAACATAATATTATATATTTATATACATTTTTATATAATTTTCTTATATTTAATACTTATTATATTTTTATTTTTTTACTGACTATAAAACAATTTTTTTTTTTCATAATCATAGTTTATTATATATATTGTATTTTAATTATAAATGTTTTTACCTCATATTAATCAAAATCAAATTAATAATTAAAAAATATTTTAAATTAAATAATAATATAAAATTATATATATTTATTACAAATAAAAATAAATAATTATTATTTTTATTTTATTTTATTCGTTTGGATAATATTAATTTCTATTTAATTTTTAAAAATTTATTATACAAAATAATAAAAATTATTATTTATAATTTTTATTTTATTATTGAATTAAATTGACAAAATAAAACAAAAATTTAATATAAAGTACAAATGAACTAAAATACTTCATAATATAAATCTCCTTTAAATTACTAATACATAAAATCAGTCAAAAATTGTATAAATATATAAATAAAATTAGTATTTATTTATATCTAAAAAAATAATATAAAATAAAAGACATAACATAAAAAATTTAAAGAAAAAGTTTAAGTAATATGTCCTCTGATTTAGATAAATTTTAATAATATTAAAAGCATAATACATTTGATATAATAGACTTAAATTTTAATAAAACAGATCAAAAATAAAATACATCTTAAAAATATCAAAATAAAAAAAAAAAATTATTAATTTAAGGATAAAGTGCTACGAATATTTAAATAAATAATAAAAGTATAAAAAAGCTTTAAAGTTAAGAATCTATATTAGAAATTTCAAAAGAATTATAATCGCCATAATAAAAAAATAAAAACCCAATAATGAATAATACAAATTATTTAAACGAATAATAAATGTTTTTTTTATTATATTAATAAATATATATATATGAATAAACAAAAAAAGTTAAGATTCATATATGTAAGATAATAAAGAAATAGAATAAACCAATAATATATTTTAAGAAAAGCATATTTATCAAAAAATGATTAACAATATTGGTTCACCTGATAATAAAATATTCTCTTTGCGTTATGATATGTGTGATGTTTATGTCGCTATAGCATGTGATGATGGATATATATATATATGTTTAGAATTAAAAAGTATAGTTTTTTTATAAAAAATAATAATATAATTTTAATTAATATTAAAAGAATAAATTGCTTATAGATTAAAAGATACAAATAAAAACTCAAATTAACCTGTAACTTGTGTAAGATGGAATCCTTAGCTTATTTAAAAAGATAATATATTATCAACTTATTCAGAAGGGAAATGTATATATTGGCAATGTTCTACTCAAAAAATACTAAAAGAATTTACTGAAAGTGGAAATTATATAAATACTTGTGATATTTCGCCTGATGGATATAAGTTTATTACTGCAGGATCCGATAGTTATAGTAAGACTTTATGAATTTGAATAAAATACTTGCTAAAATTAGTTGTGGGAAATAGCCCAGTTCACAAAAATAGGATATATGCTTCTAAATACATAGATAATAATACACTTATGACCGTATTAATTTTTTAAAAATAAGATTAAATATACATATAAATATTATATTATTAAAAAAATAAAATAAAAATAAAGGCAGGATGGGATTAAAATGTTCTTATATGGGATATGAGGACAAATTCTACTTAAAATTATATATATGGGCCTTTAATATGTGGAGATGCCTTAGATTTTAAAAATAATTTAGTCTTAACAGGTTCTTGGAGAGAAGATAAGTAATTGTAATTATGGGATATTCGAAAAACCAGTAAATCTATAAATTTATAATGGGAAAATTTGGGAAATGAATAAGATTCTTAAAGTTTTATTTACAGTTGTTAGTTTTCCAAATATGATGATAGTTTTATAATTGCAGGTTCAGCGGGTAGTAATTAAATCAGATTGTTTGATAGAAATAGTAATAATATGTGTATAGACGCACTTACTAGTAATATTAAAAAAGGAGTATTTTCGATAGATTGGGCAAATAAAAAAAATTATGCTGTTTATGGAGTTTCGGATGGAACTTTAGGATATTTTGAAGCAATTTGAAAGAAAATTATATAAATATATAGAGAAATTGTTTAGACAAAATATATTTTTTTAACAAAAATAAAAATTAAAAAAAAATTATAATTTATATTGAAAAGTTATTTATTATAGACAGTTTAAAATCACCTTAACAAAAATTTTATTATTATACTTTTAAAAAAAATTAATAATATATAATAAATATATCATATAATTTATATAAAGTTAATAGTGGGAAATAATTTATATTTAAAAGATATAACTTTACGTATATTTATATAAAAAACTATATATATATATATAAATATATATTTTTATATATTTTCTATGTTAATTTTATTATTTAATATCTAATTTTAAAAATACATTGTTTCTAATTTATAAAAATCTAAAAAATTATTTATTTATCATTTCTTATATAAAAATTTTTAAAAATAAACATAAATTAAATAAATAAAAGTTTTATAACCATAAGAATTTTATATAATAAAACAAATACAATAATAATAAGAAATAAATATAAAAAAAGGAAATAAAAATAATATATATTTGTTTATTTATAATATAATAAAAATAAATTTTATTTTATATAATAATAATCTAATATGTTTTTATTTTAATAATAAAATATAATAATTTATTATATTTTAATAATTCATTTAAATCTTAAAAGAAATATAATTAAGATAATAATTAAGAAAAATTCAATTTATATTTTAGGTCTTCTTAAACTGGAAAAATCAAATTTTTTTTTTTTTTCAATTTATTCATATTCATAAATTTCACTCTTTTCTTAATCTTCTTATTAAGGTTTTCTTTTATAATTTAAATTAAGTTCTTCTTAATGAGTTAATCCAGTTCTGATGTTATATTAATATTAAATATCTTATTCATAATCATATTATCTTTATTTTTACTATTATTATTTTTATTTTTACTATTATTATTCGAATTTTGAATCTAAATTTTTATATAAAGGTAATTATTATTCACCTATAAAAATTTATTTTAAATTATATTTTTTGTTAATTTTACTTTCGCTAAAAATAGTAATATTATCTTCATTTTATTTATTTATTTGATCATTTTCTTATTTACTATTTTCAAATGAACTTTTTTTTTTTTATTATTTTTTTTAATTTATTAAATAAAATATAAAAAAAAATACTCTATAATATATTAAAAACAGCCTTATATATTAATTTCTTTTTCTATTTCATCTACTATTTAGTCAATTGCTTTTGCTTATTATAAACAGGAAGAAAATTTTAATTTTAAGGAATTTTCTTTTTATTCAAATATTTATTATTAAAATTTTGATTGGATAAATTCTATCTCCTTTTGACCTAAATTTAATAAATTAAATTCGGTTGAATTTACTCCTATTTCTATTTGTTGGTCATCGTTTATTTTTTATAAATTTGCTTTTTAGTCTTTTAATGTATCTAATATTTGCTTTAAATTTTCTATAGCTGAACATTCAAATATTATTATACTTTTTTGAACAGGCTAATGGTTTTTGTATTAATAATTAATATAACCTTGCTTTATGTTTAATAAAGGATTCTCTTTTATCAATATACTTTCGAATTGTTTACGAAAATCATTATATTTGGAAGTTTTTATGTTTACAATTGATATAATTGCCATATTTTTATTTATTTTATTTAATTTTTTTATTTATTTATTTTAATTTTTTGTTAATATTTAAAATTATTGTTTTTTTTTTTTTCAATTGGATTAATAAAAATAAAAAAATGTGATTTATTAGTTCATTTTAGAAAATAAAAATTTCAATAAACAAGGAAAATATTTATTAAAATTGGTAAAAATTAAATATATTTAAATCTTTTTTGTTATAAATACAATTTCTAATAATAAATATAATTTTAAAAAATATATTTATATGAAAACATAATATACAGAATAAACTATAAATAATGAAGAATTTTCTATTAAAAAAACTTATTAAAGTTAATAATTAAAAAAATAAAAACGATCGAATTCATAATATAATTTAATCCATAAAGTAGCTCCTCTCTTTCCATTAATATAACCAGAAAGAAATATATTCGAATAATAATAATAATATAACCAAAATTTTAGAAGTATTACTGAATACAATGTATTTGATTAGCAAGGAAAAATAATATAATATAAATTAGTAGGAAAACCTGAATGGTATTTAAATATGTAATAAGGGATTAATTAAAAAAAGTGGTTATATAATAAAATCTAATAATAATAGTAATGTAATTCTACAGAATCTAGTAAAATTTCTTTTTTTAAGAAAAAAATGTCTTATAAAAACCGATTTTAGAATGTAAGTAAGGAATAATTAATCGAAAACTTAAAACAAAAAGAAGAAAAAATGAAAATAAATATGTAAGAAGAGTTAAATAAGTTAAAAAATACTTAGAAATTATACTAGTTATCATAGAAAAATTAACTTTAGGCAATTGATTAGTAGAAAGAAAAATGGGATAAAATAAATAAAATAATTAGTGAGAAAATCAATAGGGATAAGGAAACTACAGTGTTTTTAAAAAGTTAGGAAAGAATGGAAACTAAGATTAATAAAATACTCCTTTAAGAAAAGTAAAATGGATATATTTAATTAAATAAAAGGGAGAATTATTGGATTTAGTCTTTAAGGTAATATAATTAGTAAAATAATGATAATATTAATGAATCTTTGGTTTTATAGAAAGACAATAGTCTGATTTTTAAAAAAAGGAATATTTCAGTTGATTATAGAAACTAAAACTAAACTCCTTTTATTCCTTTAAGTGGGTAGATAAAAGTTTAATGTAAAAGTAAATTCGAAATGGAAAAAAATTCGCTTTTAGAAGATGGGAAGAATAATTGCTATGTCTATTGTCTATTAAAAGATTTTGAACCTTAGATGGATTAGGAAATTATTATTGCAAAAAGTTGAGATTTTATCTTTTAAGTAAAACGTATATAGAATAGGGTTTTTGTAATTAATATTAGTTATTAATTTTCGATTTGAAAATTTAAAAAATAATTATTTAAATTAGAATAATTTTCAAATAATTTAATTATAAATATATATTATATAATTAATTTTCATAAAAAACAAATTAATTTCAATATATAAATAAATATTGTTTTTGTTTTGTTTTTTTTTTTTTTTAAAAAAAAAATAAAAAAATGAACGAAAATAATAAAAGTTTTGCAAATAATTAAAATCTTTAAAATTCTTTTTAAGGAAATTCAAATGTTTCAACAACAATATAAAATTATTTAAATGAAAATAATAAATTAATTACAGAAACATATTTGGCGTAATGTAGTGATAATTTCGAATAGGCATAATTGTATTTAAAAAATAAATAAATATATATTAATAATTTTAATTAAAAAAATAGATATTTAGAAGAATTAGTAAATAGAATGATAAATATGATGGAAAATGCTGATTTAAATAATAAATGTAGAGAAGTATTATATGAAATGAGAGAATTATTATCTGAACAATAATTAGAGTAATTTTAGGAAATAAATTAACTTAATATTTCAAAAAATATTGATTAAAATTATTATTTAGATTATTTTTTAAATACTATACCTGTAAAAAAATGTAATTATTATATTTTGTTTTTTAAAATTATAAATGAAACAAAAGATAAATAATCTAATATTTTTTTATTTAGAAATAGAGAAAAAATAAGAAAAAAAAAAAGTCTTTTGGACAGATACTGAAAAAATAAAATTTAAAGAAGCGCTTTAAAAATATGGAAAAAAAGGTATTAAATATATAAAAAAACAATTATTTATTATATAATAATATTTTTAGATTTAAAAAAAATATCAGAATATATAGGAAGCAAATAACCAATTTAAGTAAGATCTCATATGTAAAAGTATTTTAAAAGAATTGAAAGAGATTTAAAAGAATAATAATAGTAATAATTTTAATAATAAGGATAATAATAAAATTAAGAAATAAAAATGTAATAATAATAATAATAATAATATTGTTTATAATAAATTTAAGAAAATTAAATTTAATAATGAAAAAAATAAAAAAAAATATTATATAAATGATAAAGTATTAAATAATAATAATAATAATAATAATAATAATAATAATAATAATAATAATAATAATAATAATAATAATATTAATAATAATATTAATAATAAGTCTTATAAATATTATTTTAATAATTAATGTAATAATAGTATATTTTTTTTTTTAAATTAACAAATTAATTAAATATAAATATGTATTTAATGTTTTTCAAATATTAAAATATAACATATATCTTTTTTTTATTAAAATTAAATAATATTCCTTCATTTATTAGTTCTTCCTAAATATTCTAATTTTATTTATTTATGAAAATTTTTCATTCCTATACTAATTCTAACTTTAATATAATCAAAAAGTTTATGTCTATTTCTATTAGTTATAAAATCCTAAATATTTAAAATAATAGTTATTATAAATATATATATATATATATATATATATATATATATATATATATATATATATATACAATAATTAAATCTTCTTTTTATAATAATTCCTATAATAATTTTTCATTATCATCTAAATCTTATTCGTTAAATTAAATTTGTCCCTCTAAACCATATCTCGGTATAATAACAATAAATCCCTTTTAATTAATACTAGATACCATACCTATTTCTTCTACTTATTTATCCTTTATTTTTTAAAAAAAAGCAAAACAAAAATATTTAATTATTTTTTAATAAAAATAAAATTAAAAATAATTTTTACTTTGAAAAATAAATAGGTATTATAATCTGAACTAGCTCTTGATGCAAATCTAGCATTTCTATTTCTCATATTCATTTTTTCACAAATCTTGCTCATTTTAAGTTTATTAGACATAAAGGCTGGTATTCCTTCTAAATCAATAGCTGCTGCTAATAATCTATGTACTAAAATATCTGCATATCTTCTAATAGGTGATGTAAAATGGGTATATAAAGGTGCTGCAAGCCCATAATGGTAAAAATCTGTATAATCAGCATCTGCAGTACATAAATAAACAGCTTCATTCATTGCTCTAGTTGTCATTATTCTAATAAGTTTATTAAAAAAAGAATCATTGTCCCTATTGATTTAATCTAGAGAGTGAGCGAGATTTTTATTAGAAGAGAAATCTAAATTATATCCAATTTTAGATAAAATAGAAGCTAATTCTTTAATTTATTTTTATTTAGGTTATTAATGCTACCTCAATATCGAAATAGAAGGAAAATGATCAATTATTTTTTAAGCCACAGATACATTAGCTAAAAGCATAAATTCCTCAATTAAAGAATTTGTATCATACATTTAATAAAATGAAACATCAATTGGATTATGTGTTTCATCATCGAAGCTAAATTTTACTTAAGTAGAGGCTAATGAAAGAGCACCATTTTATATTCTTTTAGCCTTTAGTTTTTTAGCTAATAAATTTAAATATCTAATGGAATTAGTTAATTCTGTATTATCATTTTTATTATCAATCATATTTTAAGCTTATTAATAATTCAAAGAAGCAACTGAATGGATAACTGATTTATGATATCTAGTCTATATTATATTACCTTCAGGGTCAATTTCCCAGACTACAGAAAAAGATAGTCTTTCGCCATCATCTTTTAATGAACAAAGTGTTTCAGTTAATAATTTAGGCAACATATCTGTACGACGGTCTACTAAATAGACTGTAGTACATCTATTTTATGCTTCCTTATCTATTGGACTGTTTGCTTTTACAAAATGACTCACATCAGCTATATGAACACCTACTTCGTAGTTTCCGCTTGGTAGTTTTATACAATGAAGCGCATCGTCTATATCTTTACATCCTATAGGATCAATACTACATACTTTTAAATGCCTTAAATCAACTCGCTTTGAAAATTCAGATTAGGGGATTTTCCAATTTGAGCCTTCTTGGGGTAAACAATCGAGGACTTGTTTAGAAAATTAACGGTATTCAACACCATGTTCGAGAAGAATAACATCACCTTCAGTATGAATATCACCAGATGGACCTATTAACATCTTAAAATGACCAAAAGGATATTTACTGTTTTTTGGCCAGTTATCGAATACTATTTAAATTCTTTTATCTTCAAGATTTTAAGGCTATTATTTTTATAATACTTACATTTATATATATATATATATATATATATATATATATATATATATAAATATATATATATATATATATATATATTTAGTTACATTTGTAGTTTTTATATAAAAATTTGGATATCGTGAGTCTACTGGAATAAATTCTCTAATAAAAATATTATTAGAAATATTTAATTAATCAATGTTTTCATTATTTATTTATCCACAAAAAAATCTTTGGACTCTTTTTATAATTCCTTTTACTTTTCCTTATGGAATTAAATTTAAAAATTTTATTTTTTGTATAATGTTAAGGTATTTTTCCTCGTTTTTTATTTTTATTTTTTATTATATTTCGTCTTCTTTTGTATTTTCATCTAATTCTTTTAAATCTTACATATATTTTTATTTAACCCATTAATTTTCTGGAAGTATTTCTACTACAACAATATCTCCATTTAAACTTCTATTTAAATTTTTTTATTCAAAAACAATAATTTCTATATCTAATTTATTTATATATATACTCCCTTAATTTACATTATTTCGATCTATTCTCATCTTTCCTTAAAATAAATCGCCAGATTTTACTCTTTCAATTAATTCGCTTTAATTTAAATGTTCTTCAAATAAACATTCGCCCTATTAATCTTCTAAATCCATTTCTTAGTTTTAATTTTCGATTAGACCCATAAAATCCATTAAATTAGGAAATTCTTTAGCTTATTATTTTAAGTAATCAAAAATTGTAATGGTATTAATTCCTTATTATTATGCAATTATATATTAACTATAATTATTTGTTATGAACATAACATTAATATTATTTCCATTCTTTATATATAAAAAAAAAAAAAATATAAATATATAAAAAAAAATATATATATTTATATATTTATATATTTATATATTTATATATTTATATATTTTATACTTTTAAATGACTTTAATACCATAATACTGAATTGAATATTGCTCTTTAGTTTCTTTATTCTTATGTTTCATTAGGTTAAATTTATGTATATGTATCTTTGCTATATTCATTTGCGAATATATGAATTTTTCTATATATTTCAGATTCTACGAGATTTCTCAGATTATTGTATGTATTAACATTTCTTTTTTTATATATTTCAATTTTTTTTTTATTTTTATTTTACTTTTATTTTATGTTTTAGACTATTGTTTACATTATTACTACATTTACTAGTTTTGGACAATTTTAAATTACATCAATTTAATTTAAAACTGTATATTCGTCTAATATATAAATATATTTTTCATCACCTTCTAGATTTAATGTATTAGCTTTTTTTTTAATTATTTATTTGTAATATTTTTTTTATAAATACATTATGTAACACATAAATTGCAATTAAATAATCCACAAGGAATATCGTCTCTCAAATATATTTCTTTAACCTTTTTTCCTACGCTTCCCTTTTTATTTTTTGTATATGTTATTTATATTTAAGTACTCATTATTTTAATTAAAAAAATAAAATATTTAGACTTTATATATTTTAATTAATAATTTTATATTAATAAAAAATATTTTAATATAAAAATATTAAATAAATTATAATATTTTAAAAAATATATAATATATTTATAAATATAAAATTTAAATTTAATATATATATAAAAAAAATAAAAATAATACAAATTATAAATTTTCATTTTCAACACAATTACTTATATTATAAATTTAAAATATTTATATCATCAAGATTATCTAATGAAAAACTAATAAAAATAGTATCTGCTAATAAATAAAAATATATAAATTATAAATTTATATATATTTAATATAAAAATAAATATATATAGAAATAATAAATATATTAATATTTATTTAAATATAATTATAAATATTTATTTATATATTTAAGCTTTATATATATAATTCTTTATACTTTAACTACTCATATTTACATCTTATTCTACTTCACTTTTTAATGAATCTATTTCAAAATCACTAAATTCTTTATTAAATTATTTATTTATTTAATTATATATATATATATATTTTTTTTTATTTATAAAAATATTTTTTTTATTTTATATATATACAATTTTATTAATCATTTTTTAATTTTATTTTAGGTTTTTAGTTTATATTATTTTATCTTATTTTATTGAAATTAACATTTCTTTATTTTTTCCGTTTTGTTTGTTAGTCTTTTTATTTTTTATATTAAATTAATTATTTTATTATTGTATTTTCTTTTGTTTTTGATTAATAATGATTATTTTCATTTTATTATCTAACGCCAAACAAAGGATTTTTTCGTTTATCTTTATAAACTATACATATTTATAAATACATTTTTTTATTTTTATAATATCCTTATATTTTACATTCTATATTATGCATAATGTCTATATTATTTAATTTTCTCTTTTACTTTAATATATGTTCATTATAAATATTTTTATCCATTTTTAGTTATATAAAAATTAATTATTTTAGCTAATTTTTTTGTTTTAGGTTTTTTTTGTTTGTTTGAAAATAAAATAAGATATTAATATAATTAATTATTTTATATATTCATAAAAATATTTGTTTTATCTATTCTTGTTAAGAGAATTTAAACAAATTATATAAATAATTACATATTTAAAAAAAATATATATATATACTATTAAATTTTTATTTAAAATATTAAATATTTTTTTTTTATATTTTAAAAAAATATATTTCTTATATTTATTTTTATAAAAACTTTTTTTTTTTAAAAATAACTTTTTTAAAATTTAAAAAAAAAACAAAAACAAATAAAAAACATAAAAGATAATTAAATAAAAATATATATATATATATATTATATAAAATGCCACCATCAAAGCAACCTATTAAAAATCAAAAAGCATCAAATTGTTATAAATAAGGATTACTTCCATAATAAGTACTACCATCTTATGTAAAATAATAACCAAGAGAAGGCAAACCAATTAAAATTCCAGAAATCAATAATAATTAAGTTTAACATATGAATTTATTTGAAGAATTTCCAAAAATAGAAGAATGGCCAGGAGATGATTAAGCAAAAAATTTCGACTTTAATTTAAATTCTTAATCTCATTTTTAAGATTAATAATGCCATCCATTGAAATTAACATAAAGCTTCACCTAGGACATATCTAATATTATATTTTGGAGGCGTCCTATTGAATACATATAGTCTGAATTGCAAGAAGTGGCTCATATATAGAATAAATATACGTTTAAAAGACGACAAAGTTACCTATAAAATCTCTCGAATAATAGTTCGGATAATTAATAACATAATAAATAAGAATATTCGATTTCTCCATAAAAAATAAAGATTGTATAAGAAGATTAGAGAGCAGAAATAAAGATTTTCGAGCTTTATTAAAGAGAAGAGACAGCAGAAGAAATAGAAATTAGAAAAAAAGAAATTCTAATTGAAAAAGAAAGACAAGAAATGCAAAAAAAAGGTCCAAAAAAAGGACCATCTACTATGAAAAAAGAAGAAATAATAGAATATAATCCTATTAAAATAAACGATATAAAACTCTCTAATATGGATTTATCAATAAATTATCCTTCAGATAGTAAGTGGATTGCTTCTTAACTTTAAATTATTAAAGATAGAAATATTTATGATTGTTATACTAATAAAGTAAATAAATATATATATATATAAATATATATATATATATATACAAATATATATATAATATCTATATTTATTTATTTTATTTCTCATAAAATTTATATTAATTATATAGCCTATATGGACTAAAATATATCCTTAATAATGTGGCCTTCCTGTATATAATAATAGTGGCAGATATTGGGTAAAATTATATTATATGGGAAAAGAAAGGAAGATTGAAATAGATGATAAAATGCCTATTAATTATAAAGGTGAATGTTTATTTCCACGATCTGTTAAAAAAGAAGAAATTTGGAGTTGTATATTTTCTAAGGCAATATTTAAGTTAATTTAAATTAGTTTTGATCTCTCTAATTTCAAAACTTTAACCGGTTCAGGGTTTATTATGTATTGTTTGACTGGATTATTGAGTTAAAGTATACCTTTGGGTGTTTAAAACTCAAACGATATTATAAAAGTACAACTAAGAGAAATGCTTTCGGATAAACACTATATTAAACAGGATGTTTATGTAACTTGTTATAGTAATTATTAATATGAAAATGATAAATAAAAAGATTAAAAATAAAAATAAACAATTTAAGAATAATAAATATTTGAATAATAATAAATACAAATGTAATAATAGTTCGAGGAATAAAATATTGATAATAATAATGAGTTTTTTATGAGAAAAAAGCATTAAACATATTCAAGTAGGGCATAAACTTAAATTATTGACTAAATAATAAATTATGAAGATAATTAAAAAATTGAAGATGAGGAAAACTATAATAATAATAATATTTAGGAAAAAAGGAAAAATCCAGCAATGAGTTTATTTCAAAGTGTTAGCCAGAAATTAAATATAACGAAAAATTAAGAAAAACCGACATATGTGATTCCAGGATATTCATATCCAATTATCGAGAGTTTCCATAATGATTAATTTAATATGGTATACGTGTAAAAAAGATCAGATAAAGAAATAAATTAAGATAAGAATATATAGAATTATCTAATATGCCGGTTAATAAAATGAATAAAGATTAAAAAATTGAACACAGAAAAAAAAAAAAGAAATTAAAGATAAAGTAATTATATATATATAAATATATATATACATATATTTTTATTTTTAGATAGTTGAAGAAGATAAAAAACGTATAGAATTAATTACACATTAACCAATATAATATAATTTTTTTAGAATAAAAACTGGTGTATCTAAAGTACCTTTACTAAATATGTTTTCACCTTTTTCATTTGAGGAAATACATACAGCGAAAACTTGCATTAAAAATAGATTACATAAACCTCCTAATTACTAAGATGGAGCTGAAATTAGGGATGATGGCAAGTCCATTATGTCTACTATTTAAAAAAATAACGCTGAAGAATCTTTATAAATGAAACCTTTAGATGATTTTTCCTCTCTAGCGAATATAATAGAATCATTAAATAGAGGAATTGGTGGTATTTGGATATCTGACAATGATATTCTTAAGAATTTCGAACATATACAATTATTTTATAACCCTAATAAATATCCACATAATAAAATTATAAACGTAGGCTAATCATCTGAATATGAGCTTACAATAGGGGAAGAATATGAAGTGTTAATAATAGATTAAAATCTTAATAATAATAATGAATAAAACGATTTTAATGAAGAAAATGAAGAAAATAATGTTTTGTTTTCTTTTTCTTCTAAAGAATGCAAAAATTAGAAAATTATACCATAACCATATTGTATTTTATAAAAATTCGATTTTTAGAATTTTTAAGTTGTTCATGAATATTAGCCCATAAGAGGAAATTAAAACTCGTAGTTGATTTAGATTGAAAATAAAAATTAGATATTTAAAATTCTTTGTTATACTCCAGTTTCTTATACTTTAAATATTTCCTCTAGTAACCCGTTTAGATTATGCTCTATGTTGTAGTTTTTGTAAGAATTCGAAGGCTTTTAGGTCAAAAATTTTACTATAGAATATCCGGCTTTTGAGAAAAATAAAGTATTGTTTTTCATTTTTTATTTTTTTTTTTAAATATTTTTTTTAGTTTGTTGTTTTGTTTAAATTTGGGATTTCTTAATGTGTATAGGAAGAAGTTTTTATTTTAAAATTAAAAAGTTAAAATGATTAATTATTAAAATATATGCACTTGAAATTAATAGAAAATGATTAAAAAAATGATAGCTAAATGCTAAACACTATAGAAGGTGTAGATAAGAATTTATATGAAAACACTTTGCAAATTTCGAATTATATGAGGATATAAATAAAGGCAAAAACTAGCTATTTTTTAATTTTAGAAGGCGAACTTCCACATAATGTATCAGAAGGTAATGTTTAAGTAGAATTTTATACTAAAAATAATGATATTTAATTCGAAAATTATGAACATGTGGAACCTTTAGTTTATTAAGAGAAATATTTTCCAACTAAATATGGAATTTTATTTAGAGAAAAATTATATGTATAGGAAGATACTTTGGTTAGTTTAAGATTAAAAATAGGGGAAGTTTTAGGAAATAATAATAATATATAATAATAAAGTATAGATCCTAAAAAAAAAGGGAAAATTAATAATATAAATGAATAAACCGAAATTTAAGAAAGAGATTTAGTTGAAAAAAGATTAATAAAAATGGAACTTTTCGAAAATGGAAAGTCTATAATTTATTCAAACGGATATAATGTTACTCATTTTTCAAATGTTTTTTTGAAATCAACTAAAAATAATGAAAATGTTTAATATTTAATATAGGCTATATTTGATCTTAGAGATTGGCCTAATGCTAAAGTATAATATATATATATATATATATATTATACATACATAAATATATTTTTTTTTTAGTATATAAATGAAGATACAGAAAACATTTTCTGGTTTTTAAGTGTTATTAGTACTTCAACGGTAGCTTTTGTAAAAGATACGGATAAAGAAGATAAAGATAAGACAATTAAAAAATCTTGGGAAGATAAAGAATAAGGAAGAGCGGAGAAAGCTAAAAAGGCAAGGAAAAAATATGAAATTTTAATAAAGAAATAATAAAATCCTAATATAGAATTAACTGAAGAAGAATAATAATTAATATAAGAAGTCAGATTATCTAAAAAATAAAGAGAAGAATAATAATAATCAATAGGAAATATAGGTATATATATATTATATAAAAATAAAAAATTATTTATTTGATAATAGGAAAAAAGTAAGTAAAAAAAGAAGATAAAAAAAATACTAAAGGATAGAAAAAAGAAGATATAATAGACGATAAAAAAGAAATTAAATAATTTCCTAAAAGTAATGATCATTAAACACAAGATATATGCGAATTTTTACAAGTAAAAAATATATAAATAGAATTTTATATATATATAAATAAAAATATATATATAAATATATTTATATAAATATATATCTATAATTTTTTATATATTTATATATATATATATGTATTTAAATATATTATCTTTAAAATTATATTAATTTATCTATTTTTATTTTTATATATTTTTTTTATATATATATTTATTTATATATTTCTATAAAAAATTAGCATTTAGAATAACCTAGAATAATTGAAAAATTAGCAGATCATGGAGGTCTAATAGATATAAGATCATCACAAAATAAATAAGAAATTAAAGAAAATGCTTTGTTATCTTTAGAAGAATTTACTGGATTTAATTAAAGAAATGAATTATTAAATAATGAATTAAAATAATTACAAAACGAAGAATATTAAAAAATAATGAGTTTATATTAGTAAGATAGAACCAATTTTAAGTAAAACTGGGTATCTTTTTTGGAATAAAGAGATGAATTTAAAACTAAAAATTAAGTCAAAAATTCAAAAGAAAAAGAACTTATAGAGGTTTTAAAATAGGAAAAACCGCAAGTTAATGTTACTGATTTTGAAAAATTATTAGTAGATATACAAGAGATTAATGATTTTAATGTTTAATTAGTTAATTTAGGTAAATTAGTTCTTAAAAATTTAAAAATATAAGTTTTAAGTAATAAAATCGAAGAGTGTTTGGGTATTTTTAATGTCGACTTATTAAAAGAATATATGTCAGAGTATAAGAATTATTAAGTATAAGGTATTAATTAAGAAATAATTCAAAAAGCTGAAGAAATGTTAGAAGAAGCGAGATAAAATCCTAATTTTGTAGTAGAAAAATAAGCAGAAGCCAAAAAAGCAGGAAAAAAAGGAAAAAATGATTTTATTTTATTTTTAATAATATTATTAATATTAATAAAATATAAATATTAATATTAATAAATACATATATTAATTTATTAATAATTTAAATTTAACTGAAATTTATAATCATTTATATATATATATTAATAATAAAATATTAAAAGTAATTAAAATATAATTTTTATGAAAAATTAAAATTTATAAATGAATTTTCGTGAATATAATATAATTCATGAAAATAATGAAAAATTATATTTGAAAAATGACTTCTTTATAGATATTTTGGAAAAACATTGTGATTATAATTTAAAATAAACTAATAATTCTTTGGAAAGTATAATAGAATGTAAATAAAATTCTAAAAATAAAAAAGAAGATAATACTTTTTTTATTTAAAAATAAATAAAAAATTTAATAATAATAATAATAATTAAAATAAAAATAAATAATAATTATTTAATAATTTATTATATAATATTTATTTAAAAAGTATTGATTCTAAAAAATAATTTGTTTAAAATAATAATAAATGTTAATTTTTTGATAATCTTTTAGTTAAAAATATTGATAAATTATAATATAATGATGATAAAATTTAAAATAAAAGCATTAAAGTTATATATTTTATTAAAAATTAATAAAAAACTGTTATAATTGAATAATAATTTCCTTTTCATAATAAATAAAGATCTATTTCTAAATTAAAATTGATATAAAAATAAAATGAATTTAAATATGTATAAAATAAAAAAAATATTATAGAAAGATCTTATAAATAATTGAGAAATAAAAAAAGTATTATTATAAATAAAATATATGATTATTAATAAAAATAAACTTAAAACTGTACTATGTAAAATAATGAGATTAATTATTAAAATTAAAGCAAAATAAAAATATAATCTAATAATCAAAATAATAAAAATATATGTTTATATAAATTTTAATTAAAAAGAGCCAAATCTTTATGAAATAATATGTTAAAAAAAAAACATTAATAAAAGTTAAATAATAAATAATATTTTAATGAAAAGAATTTAATAAAATTAATATATATTTAAAAATATATAAATTATATATATTTTTTTTATTTTATTTTAGATGTATATATAAATATAAATCTTCATTAACTTCTATCTACATAAATATATTATTTATTCAACTTTTCCATAGCTTTTTCTAATTAATTTAATACTTTTTCATTTTTTTCTTTACTATAAAAAAAATTATATAAATAATTAAATAAAAATATATATATATATAAATTACAATCGTTTTAATCCTTAAGTATCTATTTTATTAATATGTGTAATAGTTTAATATTTATTATTAATAGTATCCCATTTTTATTTCAAACCTTCTCGTAATTATTAAACTTCTTCAGG